ATATATATATATATATGTGTATGTATGTATGTATGTGTATGTATAACTCTTTTTCTTCTATTTTTGAATTAAAATATACAACTTATTTTGTGCAATTTAACTTAAAATACCCTTTTTTTTATCCTACTTTTGGATTTTAGGTCTACTTTTGGCCTGCTTTTGTACGAGAGCGATTTACTTGTACACTGTAGTAATTGCTCATTGCGTGCAATCACAGCAACTTCTGCGTAGGGAGTTTCTTTTATTTTTTTTTAGCGCTGTGCACAATTGGCTCGTGTACAATTGATATATATCTTTTGTTGACTATTTTTTGATTAGAAATGTCCTAATTTACCCTAGATGAAATCTGGTCATTCTAGATATTTTATATCCAAATATTTCCGATACATTCTGAAACATATTTATTTTTCGATAGTTGTATTTTAATATCCGTATGCAAAATGATGAGGACAGTATAAAGATGATTTTATGAAAAAAAAGAAAGATTTTATGAAAAAAAAATTGAAAATCTATCTTTGATGGCTAATTTTCGATCTGTATTAATTATGCGATTTTTATTTTTATTTTGCGAGTATTTTTATTATTTTATGCATCTTAAATTCTTTTAATTTGAATAGATATGTGCCGTGTTTTGACTTTTTGAAAATATTTTATATCACATTTATTTGCTTGCGTTTCTGCGTGTATTTGTTTAAGGCCCGATTGCACCAACGTTACTTTGATTTTAAACGAGGCTTAAAACTCTTTCTGTCTCTGTCTCTTTTTGGCTTTAAAACGAGACAGATAGAGTTTTAAGACTCGCTTAAAATCAAAGTGACATTGGTGCAACTGGGCCTAAATCTACATTGCTTGCTCTCTTCTGTTTACAGTTTGTTGCTTGATGTTGGATCGTTAGTGAAGCTACGATACTGATGTATAATAGAAGATATTGCAACATGAACGTTTTCAGCTACATTTCATCAAATTCTGATGACAAAAGTATAAAAAATCATTGTTAATTTTACACTTATTGCAGTTTAAGAAAGATTATTGGATCAACCTGAGAATTCCGTGAAAACAGCTGACGAATAATTATTTGTGCTTAATTTGCACCGTTTAAAGTTAAATTTGTATTTTTAGATGAAAATACATTTGGAGTGGATAAATGTACATTCTAAGAAATTAAAAACTTATACTTTTGCGTTCGAGTATTGCTTCGTAAAAATATCAAAAAACTATATGGAACTACATACAAGAGACTGATATAATTTGAACTTAAATGACGATTTAATGATTAGAGATTAAAGAATATATAGCTAGTTCGGGTTACACTTTAAGAAAAAATGCATTGATTTACTGTAATAATCATTAGATCATTCATATAGACATATCATAAGTGTCATTTTGATATCATGTAATCGCGAGCGCTCAGTACATAAAACATTGACAACGAGACGAGATAACTGCCTTAAATTTTCAAGATAAGTGACAGTTTGAATGACGTAAAATCAGAAACGTTTTATCTCTATAAATTCTATTACACATATGTACTAGTGTATCTGTAACATCTCTTCTGCAAAGTCTCCTAATCAGTCTTTTCAAAATCACGCGCAAATACTATCTATTACAAAAATCTATTACAAAAGTTTATTAAAAGCTGCAGTTAAAAATTTTTTTATGTATCTGAAAAATTATAAAATTTTAACATTTTATAGAAATGATGAAGTTTGTTAATTATATATTTGTGTGAATGATACATTAAAGAACATACATTAAGAAACAGAAATAAAAAATAAGAAGAAAAGAGAAAGGAGTTAACGACCAAAATGAAAAATAATCAACAATGCACGATTCTTAACACGAGTGAGACCAACAATTATCATCAACCGGTCTCGGCAAAACCTTCAGTTGTTTCAGTATCAAGTATTGATTCCGACGTCAGTGACAGAAGAGATGTACGAGAAGAATTGTACGCCGGGATTTTTAGGAGGCACAGAAAAACTATATTGGTACTAGGCAGTTTTCTCAAAATGTTAAGGGTGAATAGAAACATGAACAATTACGCTAGCATTAAACCCAACGACGAAACAGATGAATAAATTAAATTATTAAGTCATTGTTGGATCAATTAAGTAACAGAGAATTTACGTTTTAAAGTGTAATTTGAGCATATATATATATATATATATATATATATATATATATATGTGCGCGCGCGCATGTATGTATAGACTATATCGATAATTTTTCTTTTTTTTTTATACACTTCTATATATACTTCTATATAACAAATTTTTTAATATAATAATTTTTATACATATAACAGCTTTATATATATAGTGCAGCTAGATATTTTTTTTAATATAACTCGTAGAGTACGCGCGAAATATAAAAAAATGTATACAAATAAGTAAACTTGTATAAAAATCCTGAAAGTATCAATTAAATATCTGATTATTTTTGATATTGATCGTTTTAAATTGTGTAAAAATATCAATTCTATATAATATTGCTGCAACTATTTGTTCTTAATTATTTTACACACAATTATTCAAGAGTTGTGTTAGATTAAATTCATAAAATTTTAACATTAAATTAAAGTAAT